TAATAGGTGTCTTCTCAGCATCGACAAACCCAGTGAAGAAAACAGACCTAAATCCGCCAAGAAGCAACAAAATCTTTTCCCCAAATTCTCTTAAATGATCAAAGCCCTCAGTCAGAGCTTCTGGATAGAATTTAATATATATACTAGTACAGAGAGAGGGAGAGAGAGTGTTTGATGTTATGTCCATAAATATTTTTATATATTCAGGTTTTTGGTTCTACTCTTCTCCCTTGGGAAATGCCTCTAGTCCAGGGGTCCTCAAACTTTTTAAACAGGGGCCAGTTCACTGTCCCTCAGACCGTTGGAGGGCCGGACTATAGTATAAAAAAAACTATGAACCAATTCCTATGCACACTGCACAGATCTTATTTTGAAGTAAAAAAACAAAATGGGAACAAATACAGTATTTGTATTTGCATGTGGCACGCGGGCCATAGTTTGAGGACCCCTGCCTAGTCAAATACACATTTAAAACTCTTCATTCCAAGTCAACAAACACTGATTCGGCCTTTCAGGTAGAATGTTACGGAGTCACTATGTAGATTGCAATCCCAGCCCATAGGCATTTTCAATGCTGAAAGAATATAAATATACAATTATACGTAAAGGCAGTTTAGGTGGAAGAAAATTTACTTACAACTAGAATTAAGATGTTTAAGGTTGATATGGAATTTGAAAAGTAAAAGATTAGTAGGACAGCTACAGATAAAGGTACGACTAGAAGCGGAAATAAGATTTCAAGCCCAAAAAGACTTAGAAGTGGGAAAACAGGAGACATATTCAGCTACATCAATCATTCCAGTTTGGCTTGGGAATAGGATAAATGAAAGAAGCTTCTAGGAGTCAGGGATAAGCTACACAGAGAGGCAGTATGGTGTAAAGTTAAGATTTTAATTTGAAAACCAGCGTGCCACTCACTAGTTGTGCGACCTGGGTAAGTTATTTAACTCAGGCCCTCCATTTCCTCGCTTGTAGGATTGGAATAATAATGCCCATTCAATGGCTTCACAAATATTTTATGGAAATCAACTATGAACTAAGGACTATGTTAGGTGACAGGAATATACTGCCTTACTATTTACTAAGTTAGGCCTGAGTTGGGCACTAACAATACAGTGTTGAAGAGAAAAGGCCACACAACTATGAGCCCACTTACCATAGACGATGCAGACACAGGTGAGGAGAAGGCCCGAGACCAGAGGCCAGAGATACTCATGGAGATAGAGGAGAAGGAAGGGACCTAAGTGTCAAGCACTGTCGTGTTTCAGAAAGAGGGCCTGGCCAACTGCATCAGCTGAGAAGGTGAGTTAGATGAGGACAGATAAATGTCCATTTTATTCAGCATTTGAGGGCAATTAGCAATCTTAATTGTTTCAGGATGTTTCCATGTAGTAGCAGTTTTAGAAGCTAGGCTGAAGTCAAGAAGAAATAGGCTGCTAGGAATTGGATCCAAGTAGGGACAGAAGCTTGCTTGGAAAGAGCAAGAAAGAAAGAGGTCGGCTGGATGGCTGTTTTGAAGATAGGAGAATCTAGCAGGGGTGGGCCAACTTTTTGACTCGAGGGCCACAATGGGTCCTTAAACTGGACCGGAGGCCGGAACAAAAGCATGGATGGAGTGTTTGTGTGAACTAATATAAATTCAAAGTAAACATCATTACATAAAAGGGTCTTTTTTTTTTTTAGTTTTAATTATTTCAAACGGTCCGGCCCTCGGGCCGTAGTTTGCCCACGGCTGGTCTAGAGCCTGTTTGCATGCTGCCAAGAATGACTCAGAAATCGTGATGCTGGAAAAGAGGTGATGGCTGCTGGAAGGCAGCCCTTGAGAAGGCCAGAAGGCAAGCAGCCTCTGATGGGAGGAAGCACAACCCATCCTTGTAACAGGCGGAAAGCAAGTGGCTGCAGGTGAAGAGCTGAGCGAAGATGTGCAGTGGCCCTGACTGACAGACTGACAGACTGAAAACAGGACCTGACGCCATCTGCTGCTCACACAGTGGCATGTGGACTGAGGAGCTAACGTGGAGTTTGTTCTTTCCGAAATTACTCACAGCCAATATACTATGGCAGCTGAAATCTGAACCGAGTCGTTTGGGGCGGCTGATACTGGGCTGATACTATGGTAACTAGAATTTGTACACATCAGAACTGCACAGCGAGACGGCCTGGATGATTACCTGCATGGATTCTGACATCACAAAGGATGCCAGGAGCTGAGTGGAGAGGAAGCTGTGATCGGAGCTCAGGTCTTCAGCAATGAGAAGGAACAAGCCAGAACTGCAGGCTGCCGTGACCCAGAGGTAGAGCACTGTACGTCCAGACAGCAGACATGTCCAGGAGCTGGGCCTGCCTACCCTGCCTCTTGGCTCTGAGGCATCAGGATCTGAGAGAAAAAAAACAGCTTTCACTTGAGACGCTGCAGTGGGACTCTCCTCAGGGAAATGTCCAGAAAACAACTCAAAATACACCTGGAGACATGGGAATAGGGAGGAGTTCTGAAAGGAGCCTGAGACGCAGTGAGTCAGGTTAGGGATGTTTCATAGTGACTAATTTTGAGTCACTTCAAAAATACAGAATCTACAGAATTTAACATGTAAATATATGGGCTTGGGAGAAGGGCGAGAGAAAGAGCAGAGCTAAAGTAACTCTGACATGTTAAACTGAATGGTTATAGGTAACATAGGACTTAGTATGCTCCAAGGCTATGCTAAGGGCTGGGCACAAGTTCTTGATGGTATATTACCCACAATTCACATACAGCACTACCCTTAGGAACAAGGGTAATTCTCATTTTAGATACAGTTATAGCTACAAGGCGGTCAGCTCAAATACCAGGCAGTATATTTTACAACTAATTGATCCCGGCAAGTTCATCAGGAAGGCACACTGCTGAACATGGACTATGTCATGGGTTTGTTATTTCCAGTTTTCTCTGTGGCGAGTTAGCACCTGAGAGCTCCCGTTCTGCAGATTCCTTGGGCTACAGCGATCATGTCTAAGCGGTGTGGTACGGAACTGTGAGTCCTGGACGATCCGTCATTGTAATACAACGTAAAAAGAAAGCCCCTTTGCTGTTCTGTCTTCCTGTTTACAGGTTCCTCAGCTAATGGGTCTTTCTACTGTCCGTTAAGTCTGACATGGTGTTTCAAGTTCTGATTACAGGCATACTCACTTTTAGTCACTCTGCTTGACTGTGCTTTGTAGATACTGTGGTTTCATCAACACCAATGCAAGACCTACCAGCAAATGATTACAACTTGCTGAAGGCTCAGATCATGGTCAGCATCTTTTTAGCAATAAAGTATTATTTAAGTAAGTACATTGGGTTTTTTTAAAACAATATTATTGCACACTTAACAGACTACAGTATAGTGTAAATATAACTTTTATGTGCACTTGGAAATAAAAACTCACATGACTCGCTTTATTGCAGTATCTGCTTTATTGTGGTGGTCAGGAACCAAACCTGCAGTATCTCCAAGGCCTGCCTGTGCAGTCATGTGGTGCTTAAGGACCGGGGTTTTGTTCTGAGAAATGGGTCACTCGGCGATTTTATTGTTGTACACAAAAAAATGTGCAGATGGCATGGCCTACTGCACACCTGGGCTACGTGCAACAGCCTGCTGCTCCTGACCACAAGCTTGTGCAGCATGTCCCTGCACTGGATGCTGTGGGCAGCTGAGATGTGCTGCACTGCAATGTTGCAATTGCTACCATGTCACTGGGTGACAGGAAGTGTCTGGCTCTATTATAATCTAACTAGAGGCCTGGTGCACACATTTGTGCATGGGTGGGGTCTGCCTGGCCCACCCCAATTGAGGCTGATTGGGCCAGGGGGGGGTGGTGGGCGCGGTTGGTGGGCCGGCCCCGTCACCAGGTCAAACTCCTGGTTGAACTCCCGGTCAAGGGAACAGTTTGCACATTAGCCTTTTATTATACGGGACAGGACAGCCATCACGGCATTGTGAGCGGCATGTGACTATGTGACTATGAAAGTGCACGAACTGTCTCAGACATGATCAGTTGCCTCCCCCGAGCCCATCCCTTATTTCCTCGCTCCAAGAGCTCCAATGTTCAGTGAGAGCCTCTCTTTTCACATGGCCATGTGCATCAGGGACGATGGGCTCCAGCCTCAGCCCTAGCTAGTGAGTTGTGTCGTCTAGTTATGGGAACCTGATTACATTCTATCAGCTCAAACAAATGCACATAGAAGTCTGCGGGGAGAGTACAAAGACAGACAGAACACGGATCCTGATCAAATGCCTGGGAAATATAAGTTTCCTCTTGTTTAAAAAAAACAATTATATTAGCCCAGACAGTGTGGCTCAGTGGTTGAGCATTGACCCAGGAATCAGGCGGTCACTGGTTTGAATCCCAGGCAGGGAACATGCCCAGGGTTGCAGGCTCCATGCCCAGTAGGATGCATGCAGGAGGCATGCAGGTGATCAATGATGTTTCTGTCTCATCGATGTTTCTATCTCTTTATCCCCCTCCCCTCCTCTCTCTCTAAAAAAAAAAAAATCAATAAAAACGTATTTTTTAAAAACACAGTTATATTAGGTTTTTGGTTCTGGCATCTAAAAAGAGCCTAACCCAATTACATACAAGTATAGCTACAGGGCAGTCAACTCAAATACCCTATGCCTGGCCAGCTCTGCCTCTCCTGACTAACAAAGAGAAAGACCACACATTTGTAAGCATTCTAATTGGAGAAGGAGTCATTCGTTAGGGAAGTATGAAATATATCAACATTTTTCTTTAAAACTTGGTAATTCCCACCGAAACCGGTTTGGCTCAGTGGGTAGAGCGTCGGCCTGCGGACTGAAAGGTCCCAGGTTCGATTCCGGTCAAGGGCATGTACCTGGGTTGCGGGCACATCCCCAGTAGGAGATGTGCAAGAGGCAGCTGTTTGATGTTTCTCTCTCATCGATGTTTCTAACTCTCTATCTCTCTCCCTTCCTCTCTGTAAAAAATCAATAAAATATATTAAAAAAAAAACTTGGTAATTCCCTTCAAAAGAATGCATATAGTGCATTAAAATACCATTCAAAATACATCTGCCTTTAGAAGGTTTCCAAAATTTACCTTAACATTTTCTTAATTTGATACTTTACAAGGTTGTGTCAAAATTTCCTATAGTTAATTATAATTTTCTTAAACCTAAGAAGAATGATAATATTCCCATATTATAATCTACTATAAGCATTCATATATTCCTATATTTTATATTTTGAGGTAACAGTGTTAATAAATATGGTAAGTACAAGTATGAAGTTAAGAAAAATCCAACTTTTTACTTGTTTGTTGTTAATGCAATTAAATGCTCCAACTGGAGATAAAAATATGGCTAATCAATACTACTGAGGTTTACAAATCTATAAACTTCATGTATGTGAGGAGTTGAGAGGTAAACATCGTTCAGGACATGTGACAAGTTATTCACAGTAAAGAGCATATACCAAGGCCAATGCCACGTAAGTTTCTGTTTCATGTTTAGCTGCAACCCAGCTGTCCCAAGCAACATCCCAGATCCATCGGCTGGCAACCTGGAGACATTTTAAAAAATTAACTTTAGATTGAACATGTTAAGTAATTTTAACACCTACACAAGCTCGATTTCTTTAAAGACACGTCGGTTTGCTAAACAGTTACACATTTAACACAACTTTGTCCCTTTCCTGGGGAGACTGACAGTGAAGGCTCCCGGGCCCCACTTCTCTCACCACAGCTGTCGTCTGAAGCAGACACCCGTCCTAGCAGGATGTCCGGGAAGGACCAGGAGGCCCTCTGTGGTCTGGGCATAGTACAGCAGTTCTCAACCTGTGGGTCGCGACCCCTTTGGGGGTCAAACAACCCTTTCACAGGGGTCGCCTAAGACCATCGGAAAACACATACATAATTACATATTGTTTACAGTAGCAAAGTTACAGTTATGAAGTAGCAACGAAAATAATTTTATGGTTATTTTCCATAACCATAACACAACACAAGGAGCTGTATTAAAGGGTCGTGGCATTAGGAAGGTTGAGAACCACTGCTCTAGTAGCTCAGTGTACGGTGCTACTCTGCTGTGTTGTAATCCATCTTGAGGAATTAACCTTCCCGCCCTTAAGAGATTTCCTACTGAAAATTTGTTAGGACCTTGTCTCAAAATGAAGAAATGGCACTGATTATACACGTGGCTGTGGGAGAAATGCTAACTCCGGTGCTTTGCTTACAAAGCCACGTGTGGTCTGATACAGCCTAATTTTCTGCAGTGCCTCTAAAATGGCCACAGGTCCTTTCTGCTTCTCCCATCAAGAGGTTGAGTCTATTTCCCCTTGTATATCAGTTGTCATTGGGACTTGCTTTGAGCAAAAGAATGTGACATTGTGCAACTTCCAAGCCAGGCCTTAAGAGGTCTTCTGCTCTTGCCTTCTAGGAACGTTGTGAGGAGACGCTCCCTGAACATCCCACAGCCACAGAGGATTCCGGAAGCACACTGAGTTCAGCCTGCCTGGGCATCTCTGCCACGTTTTCTCTGCCTGCAGTTCTCCCTGACCTTTGGCACAGCTGGCTTTTTCCTGTCATTAAGACATCCCCTAGGGGCCTTCCCTGTCTCCAGACAATCCCACTGAGTCACTGTCACTCTAGCGCACCTCCCGCCTTAATTTTCTTCACTGAGCACTGATGACCATCTACCGCGGTTCTCAACCTGTGGGTCGCGACCCCTCTGGCGGTCGAACAACCCTTTCACAGGGGTCGCCTAAGACCATCCTGCATATCAGATATTTACATGATGATTCATAACAGTAGCAACGTTACAGTTATGAAGTAGCAACGAAAATAATTTTATGGTTGGGTCACAACATGAGGAACTGTATTAAAGGGCCAGAAGGTTGAGAACCACTGGCCTAGTGGGGTTGCATTTTTATCTATATTTATAAAAGTCTAAGCGAACAAACGACTGAACAACCAAACGACGTCCGCCAGTTGCTATGAGGCACACTGACCTCCAGGGGACAGATGCTCAATGCACAGGATTAGGCTCCCTCCTGTTTGGATCAGGCCTGTGGGGACTGGGCAGAAACCAGCTATTCGAAATCCCGAGGGGTCTCAGATTGCGAGAGGGTGCAGGCCAGGCTGAGGGAGCCCACCAGTGCACGAATCCGTGCACCTGGCCTCTAGTTTGTAAATAATGATAATCTTGCTGTTTATTGAGGACTCTGTGCTGGAGAAAATATTAAGGACTTGAATGCAGTTAGTCTCACTTAGTCCTCACAATTACTCCAGCAATTAAACTTTATTATCCTGATTTTATAGGTAAAAAAAACTACCATAAAAAACTCTTTATCATCATAAAGAGTTTATTATCATCAGTATTTCTGCCAGGATTCATATCCAACCCAATCTGACTCCCAAACCTAGGCTGTTACACTATCTACATTATTTTTTTTCTCAAACTCTAAGCTGTGTTGCTTTATTTTCTTGACTAGAGTAAAAAGTAGTCAAGAATCAGTCATTCCTTATAATTCTCTAATTTCTTCACTAACACCCATTAATGCCTAAAATAAATTTACTGGTTAGTAAATGACATTAATTGTCAAAATAGGATGATTAAGAAACAGGCTATCTATACAATTTAATTGTCATTTCTAAGTACTTTTCAAATAATTTCAGTGAAAAAACATAAATTTAACACAATTATTCTTTCATTCCCAGGCACCCGGGCCTGACATGCCCTGGAGCCATCACAGGGCTGAGTGAGAGACACCCAGTCACTACAGAGGATGGACCCTGCAGTTCTAACTGATAAAGGGGTACTTACATTTATTGCCTGGCCAGTCTTTTGAATAAATAATACCTTTATAATCAATTTATAACGGTGGTATCCAAAGTCTTTGACTGCTGACAATATGATGTCTGCTAATTCAAGCGACAAGTGAGAGAAGAGTTTATCATCATATTTGACATCTTTAAGAGTTTCCTTTAAAAAATTAAAAAGTATACCTTAATTTTCAAACTAAATATTTTCTAAATAAAAATTAAAGTAAAAAACATGTCTAAATAATACATATAACTTTTAAACCAAATATTAACTACATGTCATGCTTACCAATTTATTTCAATCACAATTTTGAAGAAAACTTATTTTGGTTTTTTGATTCTGTTCCATTACTCTTGGTTGAGGTGAAGGTTTCCGTGTTAGATTACTGTTATCAGACAATTGGGGAGACACGGGGGGGCGGGGGTGTTTAAAGAAAAGCTTCTGGGAATTCTTTGGTAGGGAAACCAACTTCTTAAAGTGCACATCCTTGCAAAAGCTCAGATTTGGGATTCCCTGCAGCAGGGCGACCTGGTCCAGAGCTGCACCGGGCCTTTCCTGTCTCCCTCTTCCTCATCTCCTCTGGTGAAAGCCCACTTCTTCCCAACCTCTCCCCATGCTTCCCACTCGGTGGATTTTTTCCCATGGCCAAGGAAGTCAGGCTTCTCACCCTGCTTGTTAGTGAATTAGCGTCCAGCGGTGGGGGAGGGGGCAGGTGTGGGCCCTGGAGCCCTACACTTCCCTCCCAGCCGTAAGCAGGCCTGGACCACCTTGGGAGCAGACAGCATATGCCTCTGACTGGCTGATTGGGACCAAAGATACAGTAACCAATGTTCTGGGCTCTGAGTGACAACAAATGGACTCCTCGCTAAACATACAGGCATGCACTAGTAAAACCAAAGAACTAGCTCTTCTTGTTTGTTCTGGTTCCCTTCTAGAATGCTCTGGGTCTAAAATGGGGTTTAGAAGCATTGATTTCCCTCAGGTACTTGGCTGTGGCTGTACCTTTTGGACACTTAGCAACAACCGCTCCCTTTTCTGAACCTGCCTAACATATCCCAGGTTTTCTCTACCTAAGGGCTCTCTTTTAAATAAATAGGCACTCCCAATAGAAAAATACCCACAAGCTCCATCAATATATACTATTTCTGTGTCTAGAACTACATTCAGTGTTGCCTGAACTCCAGGGAAATCCCTGACCTCTTCATGACCCCAGCCATTCACTTACGTCCCCAATAAGCTGTTCTAGGCCCCATCAAGCCCAATGAAACTCTATAAATTATCAAATTAAATATGATTTGAAATCCTCCTATATTCAATAAATGTGAACTCAGTCTATGTGGTAGAACTGAGTGAGAGACACACCACAATGTATACTCTCACATCACAAATGCTTGCTTATTAGTGTTTAGATCAGTAAAGAAGATAATCAATAGTTATTTTATTGTAGTAAAATTGAGTTGAGTTGCTTTATTTCCTGAAGCCATTATCTACACTAATAAAAGAGAAAGATGGTAATTGGCGTACGACGCTACCCTTTTCATTGGCTAATCAGGGCTATATGCAAATTAACTGCCAACTCAGATGGCAGTTAACTGACAACAAAGATGGCGGTTAATTTGCATATGTAGGCACAATGCAGGGAGGCGAAAGGGAAAGCAGGAAGAAGCCCCCTGCCACTGACAGTGATCGGAAACCCAGGGGGGAGCTAAGAGCTGGGGGGCAGGGCAAAGGCGGCCCCAGGGCCGCCTTTGCCGTACCCCCCAGCCATGATCGGAGAATCAGGCACCTTTGCCGCCCTGGCCAGTGATAGCAGGAAGTAGGGGTGGAGCCAGCGATGGGAGCTGGGCACGGTCGAAGCTAGCAGTCCCGGGAGCTAGGGGTCCCTTGCCTGGGCCTAAAGCGGAGCCCACGATCGCAGGGCCGCTGCAGCTGCGGGTCCCCGCTGCCCGGGCCGGATGCCTCAGCCAGAGGCGTTAGGCCTAGGCAGGGGTGGAGCCTGCAACCACGGGGAGCTGGGGGTCCCCTGCCCAGGCCTGACACCTCTGCCGGAGACCTCAGGCCTGGTCAAGGGGCTGATCCGGTGGTTGGTGATCGGAGGGTGATGAGGGTCAACTCCTCTGGCTGAGGCATCAGGCCTGGGCGGGGGCTGGGAGTCCCCTGCGCAGGCCTGATGCCTGGGCCAGAACCAGTGATGGGGGGAAATGAGGGTCCCCTGCCCAGGCCTGATGCCTCTGTCAGAGGCGTCAGGCCTGGGCAAGGGGCCGATCCTGCGATTGGAGTGTGATGGGAGTCAATGCCTGAGGGCTCCCAGTATGTGAGAGGGGGCAGGCCGGGCTGTGGGACACTCCCCGCCCCCCCACACCCAGCGCACGAATTTTGTGCACCGGGCCCCTAGTATCTTCATAAAATATCATCTGATAATTATTAGTTCTGTTTAGAGATGTATCTATACAGTGAAGAGAAATTGGAGAGTCACCTAACTATTCTTCTTTATTAATAAAAGCTAATTCATTTAAAAATTAAAGAGTTATTAATCATTTCTACAAACCAAATTAAACCTATGCTTTGTTCCAAATAGGCAGCTCACATCATTTGTTACTGAAGGAATGCATTTTGTAAATTGGAGGGGGAGGTAATTTTAAAACAAGGAGTGGGGTGAGGTTGGGCGGAACACCACAAAGGGCATCTGCTTATCAAGAAACTCCTGGTGCCTGGTGCCCAGAACTAGAGACCAAAGATGAAAAAGGGATTCAGAAAAGGTGGTGCCTCAAGTGAATTTCCTATAATAAAAAGTGTTGTAATTTGGTCCTTTATCAAGAAAAGATGGCGAAGGGAATTCCTCCCATCTGAACAATGTAGCCTTCAGACAGCGAAACTAGTAAAATTAATACCGGTAGTAATATTAGTATTATAGGGTTAGTTTTGTAAAATTGAAAAGCTTTTTTGAATGAGCCTGGGATCATGTGTTTGAGTTTCAAACAACTGTTTTTAATGAACTTTATATTCCGTTAAGTTTAAGGAGGAAAATAACGGATGCCTAAGCTGCAGATGGTCTATACTTAAAAGATGGTTTAGCATAGTCAGGAACCAATTTTTCACACAAATACACACATCCAATGTGTTCTTTTTCACTCATTCCTCTGATTATGGGTGAAACATGGAACCAGAGGGACAGTTTATGGATAATTATGAGCTAAATGAAATAGAAGCATGTTCCCTTTAATCTAACAGCATCAATGTGAAGATTATTGACTACAAACCCAAAGTACTTTCATATTTTCAAAGTTAAGTGCTATAAAAAAAAACAATCAGGGTAATTATACTGCCATAAATCTGAATATAGTTTACCAAATTCCGAAAGCTTAGATCAGGAGTCCTCAAACTACAGGCCGCGGGCCACATGCAAATACAAGTATTGTGTTTGTTCCCGGTTGTTTTTTTTTTTTTTTTTTTTTTTTTTTTTTTTTTCCTTTAAAAAGTTCTCATTCAAACTGGGACAATTTGAAATGGGATAAATTATTCGATGAGTGGGTACTCGGTGTATTCAGGTTTAGGAACCAGATTAAATTGCACATTTTTTGAACTTTTAAT